AAACATGTTGACAACTGTCAACTATTTTAACATTGACCTGCTGTTCTAAACCACAGCACACAAATAAACGCATTTCCCTGTTTCTGCCTTTGTCCCTCAGCATCCTCAGCACTAGTAAATAAGGACTGTCAGATGAGCAGGGCCACTGTCGCCGCTACGTCTAAACATGAAAAACAACCCCGTAGGTCCCCTTCTTATGCGTCTGCCATTAACCAGGCTGTGAGCCCCCTCGCTTACCATTCAAAGTACGACGCATTTACTTCTTGATAAATAATGTACACGATGTATATACATTTATATATTATGGGGTCGTATGTATGAGTACCTTTTTGGGTTTGTTTTATGATGCAAATTAGACAAAATGGTAAGTGTGCCAAATTTAAAATAAAAATTCTACATTTTTAAAGAGAAAAAAAGTTTGTTATAGAAGGCTGTTACGTGTTGTTTCTTTTTTCCCATCTCTTGCGCAAACATTTGCAGAAGACGCTTGCACAAGTGTTGTTTGCGCATAGAAATAAAAAACAATTTGTATTTACTTACAATTTACATAAAAATAAAACAATAAGTGTGCAATTGGCTGTGCAATAAAGTTGTCTATTTCTACACTTTTGTTTCTCTGTCTACGTTTTTCGCTTAAACGACCCGTATATACATATACACATACGTATGCATACGGTTGCTGTGAAATCAGCACGTGGCGCCTCAAAATGTACAAATTAGTTGTTAAACCGAGTCCGGTGTAAATATTCGTTAATTAAAAAGGATTAGTTACTGCCACAAGAATGCTAATACATTGTATCAGTCAGTTCTCGGCACATTTTGGGCCAAATAATAAATATTTTTAGTGTATAATGGCGACAAGGGAGAAAAGAGATAAGCAGATTCGTACGAGAAGTAAAAGATTCCATAAGAAATTGACTGTAACACAACAACATAGAAAAGGATTCATTAGCTACATATGCACACATGTATGTATGTATTCTATGACTGACTGATAAGAAAAATTGATAGAGGAAATTAGCAGCAAACCACTTAGGACACGCGTGCACAACAAAACCCCTATCCGCCTTGATTAGCAAAAAAAAAAAAAAAAAAAAACAATCTCTTACGAAAAAACACAGCTGTAATTAATACGAAACATATTCACTCATTACCAGGAGACTTTATCAACGAACCCAAATCCTTGAGCACGAAAAGAACATGAGGACAAACCACAAACGTTGACGGTGACTGCTGACTACTGATAAAAGCGATTTTCTCATCCCACCAGATATACATACCTTCTGCATCTATTTTTGTCCAGAAGAAACATACTAACGTAGCTGAATGCTCCGCATAATAAGGCGTGGGAGCTGTCAACTTGATTTATGACTCTAATAAATACAAGTTTATCGTCTAGCAACCGAGCATACATAATTGTACAACCAATTAGGAAAGCATATAATTCAAACTTAAAGCATTTATTTAAACAAATATTTCGGCAAAAAATCACATGTACACACATGTATATTTCTAGGATTTAGCTGAATCTCGAGGCTCGACTTGGCAGCTATAAATGCCTACCTATTCAAAATCAAAAGGATGCTTGTATGAGAGAAGTAAGTAAGAATCAATATTAGAAGTGTTAGTCTGTGTGTCTTTGTGTTCAGCTTAGCACTGGTACTAGATGACAGTTGCTGCAGCTCCCAACAGCCACTTTTGCATATGAGCGGTAATTGCAATTCAGTTTTGTGCAATTTCTGAGTTAACAATATGAAACTGAACCATGTCCATATTGAACTTGAGATTCGTTTTAGTTCAGTTGTAGGATGAATATTGAGCTTTTGTTGTAGCATAAGGGCTGTCGATCCGTGTGGGAATTGTGTGTCGCCCCAACAACTGTACAAAAGCGCGAATTTTTAAGTTGTGCCAGTGCTGGTGCTTTTGCTGCTTTTAAGTTTGTTAACTCAAACACATACCATTGCAAAAAACTGACCAATGTGGCGCAATGCTTTTGGTTTAATTTGCAACCCAGTTAATGAGTAACACAAATGCACATACGCACCTTAAATCTGCAAATAAAACGGAACGCTGCTACGTTCACAATAACTGCCTAGGCATCCACACAACTATAAAAGACAGGTCCCATACGCACAAGCACGCACTAACACATTTAGATAGTGTATATATGAGTGTGCATATTTGATGATTAATTGCAGCCAACATGATAAATGATTGGGGGTAATAAGAGTAGCAACGGCAAGCGCCACTCAAAGAAGTATATAGAAACTAAGGGTAGGCAGTAGCACGCGTGTTTGGAACTAGCTCGGGTATCTGGTTTGCTTCTAAGAGGTCGTAGCAGTGGCAATTCAGACTGCTGAGTTTAGCTGCCTTGCAAGTATTTAAGGCGCACAGGCGCATAGCCCTCACGTTTTGGGCCACGTTGAGAATATTTTTCGCAATTGCACGTATTTGGGATTGCCTTTTCTTTGTATTTGTTGGTTTGGGTTGCCTCTGATATTGTTCAAATAAAAAAAAAAGTTGCCTCGTATTCGTTAGGAACCAAAGGACTGCTCGACATTCAAGAAGGAATTCGTCGGCGACGTGTTAGTCAATGATGTGGGTGCTGAAGTTGTTACTGCCTTTAGCTTATTATCTTTACGCTTATATGTGTGTGTCACAGAATATGTGGGCATCTGTCTTCATGAATTTAACAATTCCAAAGCCCAGCATTTTTCTCTCCCATATTTTGGTTTCTTTCTTTGTTTTTTCTTGGTACGTGCTATTTTGAGTTTGTTACATTTTTGGCGTTTAAAAAGTTAACTGCTGATTGCATATTGTGTGTAAGGATGGTTGTTGGAGATAGGATGTCACAACCAATCGCAGACTGATTTCGACACTTGTCTGCGCCAAAATGGAAAATAAAAGAACACATAGTGAATTTATTTATTTAACATCGAAATGAATTTATAATAAAATCAGGCTACACAACTCTTACGAGATATTTCTAAAAGTTCACGGTGAAACAGAATTTTCTTACAGTTGTTGGCATATATTTAAATTGTTCCCTAATGTCTTGTTTTCTTGGATGCATGTGTGAACAAAGCATAATTTTACAGTTACACAAATAGGTGTGGATGTTTCTTTGCATACAGATAATGATACATATTTAGCTTACATTGTTTATCTTTGCCACAGTAAAAACAACTGCCAGCTGTCTAATTGCAGACAAGTGTCCGAGACAAATAGCTGCGTCCAAATATCGCAGCATACGATACCACCAACAATTTGAATAGAATACAAACACAGCAAACGCACCAAACGGAAGTACTCGGAAGTCAACGGGAAATAAACAAAACATCCGTCGTATGCAGTATTAATTACAAAGCGATTCCTTGTGGTAGAAATTGCTTCAAATGTTTTTAATTTTATTTTAATTTACAAATATTACCAAGCGGGTGAAAAATTTAACTTTGTTGCATTATTTACCTGCGTAGCAATTACGGATAGGATGCATGTAAACATATGATTTATACACAATCATGCACATAATTAGTCTAGATTCATATTTCAACTTAAACTCGAGAAAAGTATGTTCAAAATTTTTTGAAAGTATATTCAGAAATTTTTAACGCATCGAATTGTTTAAAAATAGTTGTGAATTCAATGAAGCATCTGAAAATAATTAAAATAAATTTTATAATCAAATAAAATGTTTGAACTATGTTACGAAAGTGCTATATAGAATGTAAACAAATGCAGGAAAAGAAATGTGGTACGTTGTTTGAATACCAAAATTTAAAAGCTTAACTTTTTATACCCTGAACCCATTAAAAATGGGTACAAGGGTATATTGTATTTGTGCGAAAGCCAAATGTATGTAACAGGCAGCAGGAAGCATCGAAGCATAGAACCTCTTACTTGTTTCGAAGATATACAACAGTGAGCGCTGGTGGAAGGCATTAAACAGTATCTGCCTTATCTCGTTGCATGCCAATGAATTACGACTAGTATTTGACATAGCCCACAAACGGTCAAGCAAATGCTTATGCGTCACATGACGATAAGGGAGTCAACTTAACATTTTTGCAAAACAAAAATAAATATAAATGCAAACAAAAATAAATATAACAAGCCGAACCGCCAAATCAGCTGTGGCTTCTGATAATTTAAAGTTTTAGTGATCGGCTTTATCACAGCAGGGATAAATGTTAACAGCGAAGTTAAATTCATACATAAGCACAATAATTCATACGTACATATATAAATGTGTATGTGTGTACATACATATTTTTTTATATTTTCATATAATTCAATATTTGCCAAATGCTTATGCACCTACGTATAATACACAGGCATAATTGTATATATACTCAAATGATAACCGACAGCCGCGGCGTATGTTTATTTATGAACACATCTATTTTTTTAATGATTTAATTTTTTGCATATTGTTGAAATATTTGTATAAAGCAAATGCATTGACTTATATAAATATTGTTTATACATTTTATGCATGTAATACTCTGTGCCGTATACACTGCTTTTATTTTTTTTTCATTTAAAGTAATTCCGTAATCATAATTAATGTTATTTTAAACTCACCCACAAGTAGACACAATTGCTCAACATATAATTCCCCTCGTAAAGACCTTCAAAACCAAAGATAAAATAGCGGTTCCTAAGGCATTTAATTTAGGTATGTATATAAATTATTAGCCACATGTAGGTTTGACGTCAATTATAAAAATATAGGAAAATCTCACTTATAATAGACACTTATTCATTACATTTATACGGCGAGCTTCTATAATTTGCAATTTGCTTAAGCAAATATTTATATATGGAGTTTAACGAGTCTCGCTAAAACGTATACTTTGAAATCGATTCGACTTTTTGCTCTTAATGTTGCATTGCTTATAGTTATCAAAAACCTGTATTTAGTATGGGACACACGATTGTCAGGCAAATAATATTAAATAACAATATAATAATCCTTTTTATTTTACATCTTCACTCACCTGTTGCCATTGATCCTCAATCGATGGCTGCGATGAGAAATAGCCAGTTGTGCAAATGCGCTCCAGTTCGTTGAATATATTCCCACTTGGTAAAATATCCATCTCGAGATCGTCGTCCTCAGTGGAAAAAAACTCCAAAGACTCCGTGATGAAGCCGTCCTGGTTTCTCTTTAGGGTACAAAATAAAACCAATATTGAGTACGCTATCGCGCTGACTCTGCGATTTTCTGTCGTTAATTATAAACGACGACAAATTGTTTTGCAATTATTTGATTCACACTCGATATGCTAAATATATATATTTTGAATATTTTGATTTAAATATTGATTTGATTAGAGGTATTTCTGCATGACAATTGGCTTGGCTTTTACTTGAGCTACACTTGACAGCATCTTAACACACGCACATACAAAAAGATAATGATACAGATAACAAATATTTTGACACCTATTAATATTATATTGAAGTTTTGTGTATTTTTTTATAATTCTTTTAGCAAATTTTTGCACATCATTTTTTTGGAATATTAAAGCGAAAACTTTTTTAAATTTATTTGTGCTATTTTTTAATACATTTTTTAATTGCACATAATTTTGAATGGGTGTTCCACAGTTGTAGTTGCTTGGAGCTGTAATATAAAAAAGAAAATAATTATAATATGTATTATTATTAATGATTAATATGCAGATAATATAAGGAATTGAAAAAAAAGTGTTAATTCTCTCAATCATATCTATTTAATATCTAACTTAAAAAGAAAACACAATTTGCTTCTAGAATATACATTTTTCTGTGTGTAAAAACCAAGTCAACGAAACCAATAGTCATTTTCCATGCCAATGAATTACCCTTGCATAAATTATATGAGAATACTGTTTACATACATATACATATAGCCCACGAATAGGCATGAACCAAAATATTAAAGTGCAGTTTTTTTTTTTTTTTTTTTTTAGTTATAGTTTTTTATATTTATTTAGTTTTATAGTATACTTTATATAGTTTTTATAGTTTTACCTATGCTCAACAGTTTTCACTATCATAACCAAATTTTAGGTCAATAACCCCATTGACTGGCATAAGCATACATATATAAAAGACAGTCAGTTGTTGGGACTGTCGCGTTGCGGCTCAAATTATTAGTGTTGTCGTCAACAGTACGGAGCTAGCACCAGGCAACGGCCTGAAACCCTGAAAGGTATCTGCTGGTTTATTAGCCTGGATCGAGTCGAGTCGAGTCGAGCCGTTTCGGTTTTGGTTTTGGTTTCGAGTTCGGTTCGAGTTCGGCCTCTTCTATATGTTGTATTTTACTTTAATTTCTAAGCGCTTTGTTCGTTTCTCCCTAGCTGAGCAACAAAATACGGCAACATTCGTGGCTCGTTTTGTTATCGACTTTTTTTTTACCTGTTTTTGTTCGCTCTTTTATAGCGTATCTCTCTTTTTTTCCCGTGTTAACTGAAAAAGAACGAACGCGCAGTTGAAGTGGCTAGCGACCGTTTGAGTTGATTTTAGTACAGTTTTGTGTTTTTATTTTGTGTCTGGTTTTGTTTTGTTTTGAACTACAGCGCATGGCTTACAACGCCGAACGGCTCTGGGCCTGGTCATTGAATTTGGGTATGGAACTTTAGATGCATTTTATGATCGAAAAGCTGATTTATTTACTGTCGGCGCTTTTTAAACTTTGTCAAAACTTGGGGAACCGCCGCTCTAATTTACACATTCTCCGGGTGAGTGCTCTCCAAAATCAAAAGTAAATTATTTTTCATATTTTCGTCAATTTTGTTTGTTACTAAAAAAAATAAAAAAAATCAATATTTTGCAAATATAAGGCTTCTACGTTTAGTTTTTGGGTCCATTTATAAGACTCGTCTTGCCATGTAGACCCTGTGCATTCGCCTTGTTGGTGGGATGACCCACTTTCAGTTTTCTTCAGCGAAATCAAAGAAAAGTATTCGTCGCCTATTAACTTTTTAGATGAAAGGTTTCAACACAAACAATTACTATTTCTAGAACTACTTACAACTTAACAAACATTTAAATTATCATACCCACGCGTTATCACCAAAGTATAGCCCACGTGTTTTAAACTTGCACGCAGACTTTAACAGAAGTTTTCTAACAGACACGTATACACAAACACTCACAAATGCAGCCTCACACGCAATTCGATGCTCTTCTCGTATACCCTTCAATCAGAAAAAAAGCGGCGCGACGGTGGCAGGGTTACGCTCACGTCCGCTTGCAGCCTACGTGCGTTTTAATATATTTTTCTTCTTGCTGCTGATGCAGCTTTGGCTATTATGATTGAGCAGCATTATCGTCAGCGACGTAGCAATTTTCACGAACCTGGACCTTTTTACACCCTTTGCACCCAGAATAGTAACCTTTACTCATTTTAATTTAAAGGGTTTTATTTTAATAGCACAATCAGACAGTGGTACACGTGATCTTGACGGCATATCCAACCATATTAGGTCTTCCCAACGACAACAACCGCATAAACGCCATCTACACGCAACGACAACTTTGTTTTTTCCCCTCAAAGTTCACAAAATAGTTTTTTTTATGTAAAAAAGTGGCAACACAACAGCAGTGACAACATTTGAAATTTGTTCTCTGAACTTGATTTGTATGGTATGCCACTGCTATGCCCACTTGCATTTGGACTCTCCTCTTATTTCCCTATGCATTTAAATTTTTTTATATGTTGTTCGCTCCAATATAACTCTTTCACATTGTTTCACCGCTGCGTAATATTTGCTGCTCAGCTCATTTTTACCCTGGGGCAACCCCGTGCTGTCCTCCCCCACACAACATACATTTCAACACTTTGTTCGTTTCACACGTGAATTGCCTTAAAATAAAAAAAAAAAACTAATGGAAGCAAATATTCATTGCTGCCTATTTTTACAGACCTTTTGCTTGTTGCTGACTGCCTGTTTGTTTGTTTGTATTGCATTATTAGTGGAATTTTTCCAAAGATAAACCATCCAACCCATAAAACAAGTCTTATAACCATCGCAATGTAAAATATCGGCTATAGTATATTATATTCCAATGCTATCTCTTAACGCGTATTTTTTCCAGTATTTTCTGACTTGAAATGATACCATTCATTCCTAAAAATGTGTTTAACCGCTCTAAAGCCAAATTCCTTTAAAGTTTTATCATTATATTCGATGTGAATATACATATCTTACAATTTTAAAATTGTCTACACAAAAGATATTCAAGAAGTGTGAATTCTGTCTGCAACGTGAAGAGCAATTAAACCTAAGACAACCCGGACATATGTATATATATTGTATAAAGTATTTTTCGCGTCATTTATTTGTAGCTGCCAAATTGTGTATGTTTATAAACAAAAGGTTATTTATGTTCTCAATTTTATTTTTGGTACAGTCAAATAAATATTAATAAAGACCACGCGTTAAATTAGGCGATAGTCGCTGAAGTCGCCTTCAAGTCATTAGTTATTGGACCGTGCTAAAGGGAGAGTTGCACATGTGCTGTTTCGTCAAGTTAGTTTGCGACAAGCGAATTATATTGGTATTATCAATTGTTATTAATAGTACCCAATCTGCATTGTCGCCTATAGCGCACGCTTGACAAATCAAACTGTTATTTTACAAGCAGGTGCAAATTGGTATCAGTATCTATATCAGAATATACTTGTAGTACCAGGAACCTCTGATATTATTTGTTATTTATTTTTGATTGAATGTAAAAAGAAACCGCCTGCAAGTTGAGCCCAACGTAAGCAACGTTCGATATAATCATAAAACAAATGTGGCACTTGTTTTGCCAGATATACCCCATATGCATTGTATATAAGCATATAAGAATATTACATATACATATGTACTTATTTATTTTACTGCGCTTCAACAGCCGCACAAAAATTGAAAAGAAAAAAACTGCTGGAGGCATGAATCAACCGCATTTTATATTTTCTGCCTTCGCTACGTGATTTAATATTAGCAAACTACCGAGTATTTCATGCAAATTGCAAAGTTTTTTTTTCTTACAACAATGAAACAACAATAACAGCTTGAGAAGTTAGTTATGGTTGTATGGCAAATGATTAAACGCTGGGTCTGAGGCTTCTAATATTTTAAGCGTGAGTTTCGCGGTCTATCCGCTGAGTCACTGTGCGGTGGTGGGAGGTTGTAAGCACTGCTGATGGAAAGAGATGCAAACACTAATGCATGCTCAGCTCTTTAACCAGTAAATGTGCCTTAAATTTGTACTCTTTTCATGAGATTTAGTTTTGCGTACCTCTTGAAGTTGTTGTTATTGTAGTCGTTGTTGCTGCAACACTTGTTACTTTGACGCACTTTTGCGCAAAACTTGTTTGCACACAAATACACTGCGGCACACACACACATCAAGGAGACGAAGATTTGACACAGCGAATGCCGAATGCCGACAAACAACAACAAACTCCGCGAATCGTTTACACTGCAGACTTTAAGCGAGCAAATGGCGATAAGAATTTAGTTTGCGTTAACTTTGAAATTATTATTTATCCATTTTGCCTTGCGACCCAAGTGTCGACGAATTTTTAGCTATTTATGTGATTTTCTATTTACACTGCAAACGTTTTCGTTTTTTATTTGCTTTTTACAGGTGTTACTCTTCTACAGTGGTAGTTGCATGTATCACCGTATAGTCATAGCTGTTAAAATTTTCGTTGTTTGCTGATTTATCAAAATATGTTGTCGTTCACTTATTTCTTATCAAAACTTTGTTTACACCACGCACACAAACAACCTATACGGGGCGACGCGTTAAGTACCGCTATAATTATAAAGCACTGGCTATTTTCCGATCTTCACGTTTCTAGCAACTGCACAAGTGTATTTCGTTTTGTATGCACTTGCTGCTTGATGAAAATGACGCTGCTGCTACTGTTGCGGCGACGGATGCGGCTGCTGTTGTTTGTGATAACTGCGCTTGCGATTCCGACGCACGCTGAACCGTTAACGTAACCGGTAAAAATAAGACTGTTGCTGCTGTTACTCTCAGAGAACCACAAGTGCAAGTTAAGCGACTATTAACAGTGGCATGTTAAGAACAGAGAGTAAAACTGTAAGTTAGCAGAGCCCATATGGCGCTCAGAGACTACAGTTGTACTCTTGGTCTCTCTACTGCGACGTACATAGCAGTGAGCAAACTCACCACAGCAGCGAATTCAATGTCGGACGTAATCGTCAGAAATAAAAATTCAAAAGAGTGAATACAAGCGAAGTGGTGAAATTGATAACAGTCAGTTAATATTAACATTCGCTGCTAAGAAAATTGTGCGTTATACATACAAATGGGACCTTTGAAAAAAAAACATAGCAGACCATGCTTTCATTCTTGATCATTTTAAACATCAAAGTCGATCTAGCCTTGTTTAAATTTGGCTACTTAGCTTAAATATGCTAAGGACTTCGTGTACAGCTTTCTTTCGTTTACAGCTTTCCTTGCATTAATCAGAACAACAAATGAATAAAACCTAATAAAATATCATCCACCAACAA